CTAGCCTCTGTTGACTGTTCCTACTTCAGGAAATGAATAGTTTTACTACATATCAAACTATTCTATCAATGTATTAGGGCATGAAAATGTCAAAGAATTAAGAGATAAATTTATGCTGATAATAATTATGGTCAATAATTACTGGTACCTTTTTACACCCTAACAAGTGAGAGCTTCTTTCATTGGCGATCATTTGTGTTATTCTAATGACCTTAATGTTTAATTCTGAGAAGATACCATGGGGAAAAATAAGATGGCAGTCAGTCTTAAACAAATGGGCTTCCAAAATCGTTTTTACCTCCTAACCTTCCAAGTGTTTTCCCTCTCACACACCATTAAGTAGCTCTGCAAATTGTTTGTCGTCTTTTTGTCTCATTATTTCTGTTTATTCGAAGAGGGTGAAGTATTCTCTCCAAAATAATAGTTGCTAAAGCATTATAGCCAGATTGACAATTTTCAAAATTCCACTCATCAAGAACTGGTTTTAACTGGAAAAGATCTCCAACAGTTATCAAACTTATTCCATCCAATTACTCTTGGGTTCCCATTATTAGTTGTAATTAAGTCTATTTCACAGAAGTCTACATGAGGAATGTTGTTTTTAAATTCAATTTAATGAATGAGCATTATGATATGGATACTTCTGATAAGTTGTTGTTCTGTAAAGATTGTAGTGAGGATTATAATTTAAGGATTATAATTTAAGGATTCCCTTGACCTGGTCAGCATATATAGTTGAACAAATATTTTCAAATATAGCTTTTTCATCCGTATTATTAATGAATGGAATATTATTAATTAATTATTAATGAATTTGGTAATACTTAGAATTTCAGATTTAATTCAATTTAATATTTTTATAAATATAACAATTATTCCACAAGCGCGCATTGGATATGAGGTGATAGACAGACAGCCAACGAGGCGCGTAGCCCTGAGTTGGCTATATTTATCTCATATCCGACAAGAGCGAGTGGAATAATTGTTTTATCAAAAACCTTAAATTAAGTTATTGAAATTTATTAAATTTTATTAAATTTTTAGCTCCCTTTTAATTTTAAGCTGACACGTATGCTTGTCATATTTGTAGATTATGGTATATTGGCTGATATACCATAATGGCTCAGCCAATAAAAAGTCTTGAATTGCATTATCCAATGATCTCGTTTTTAATAATAAATTCTAAACTATGATAATTGTTACTTAATATTATAGATATATTTTGTTAGCTTACTGGGGAGCATCCCTCGTATGGTGTCTAGGACGCTTTTGGATGCTGCCTCTCCATCATCATTATTATTATTCGTTATTTATTTAATTATTATTTAATATTATTTATTTATTTAGTAATTTAGATTTGGAGAAACTGTAATAAATAATCGTAAATTCAAAAAGATGAACATACCACTTCCAACAATGGTGGTACATTTAATTTCCAATTGCATGTTATGCAAATAATTTGTACAAAATCCATCAAAATAGAAGGAGGAAGGCTTACCTTTTCTCCCAGATGTTAAACCGTTCATTCCGTGTATCGCATTCTTCATGCGCGTGTTCGATTCCTCGTCGTAAAAACGAACTGATGTATTTGATCAAACAGCTATCTAAAGTTGTGACCGTGTCATCGTCGTTTTGTAGACTTTGAAGCCCTCTTCTTTCACCTTGAGTATTCTTCCACACATTTCCTCTTAGTTTGTGAGGTCTACAAAGGTGTATTTTGATCAAGGATGGAGCGAAAGGAAGGAAAACCACTTGGATAATTTTGGCGTCCGCACACACACAGATGCCATTTTGATTATTACGTTGACCTATTCATGTACTCAGGCAAAAATGTCCACCTCTGTCCCACCCTCTAGTTATATGAACATGTACAGAAGACAACATGATACGAGCTGGCGGACAAAGTCAAACCTTGTAGGGGAGGCAGGGGAGAACACGTTTATTGCAAAGATTAATTGATTAGAATGGAGTGAGTGAGTATAATTGAGGGAATTTTGCGTCAATTACCTACACCCTAGCTTGCCTAAACCTCATCATATGACTTTCGTCAAACCATGAGGAACCATGAGGTAAAAACAAAAATCTACCTCGGTCGAGAGGGACTAAGATGGAATGATGGACACTACATGACATGTTATACTGTTTAGAGAGATA